TAGCCTGGGACTGAATGAGGGACTACTAGAACAGGAAAACCCTAACCACAGCTCAAGCTGGAGGCATACAATTGAAAACAATTAGCAAATTGTGCAAGGTGGCCTGATGGTCACAAATGCTGATGTCTGAAGAAAATGAACAGGTCAAGAAAGCTGGTAGAGAGGAGGCAGTCCCAATATGGCACCACTCTACAAACCAAGGAAGACGAGAAGAGATATAAGAAACCCCAGAAAAAGACACAATAGGTTTCAAGCCAAATTGAATAGATTAAAACATCAAGTTCCAAGCTGAGTAATTTAGTCAGAAATTCCATAGGATAAGTATAAAAAGTATGTCCCCATTTTGTTCCCACTTTCCAGATGCTAAGTTTTTATCTGGAGCAGTTACTCAGTTAAGGGGTTCTAGAATACTCCCAGGAGAAAGATCTTAAACCATGTGACTTTTTTTTTCCCTTTCATTTTTTTTTTTTTTTTTTTTTAAAAAGACAGGACCTTGCTCTGTTGCCCAGGGTGAAGTGTAGTGGTGCGGTCTCAGCTCACTGCAACCTCCTCCTCCCAGGCTCAAGTGATCCTTCCATCTCAGCCTCCCAAGTAGCTGGGGCTACACACTCAGCTAACTTTTTTGTAGAGATGAGGTCTCACAATGTTGCCCAGGCTGGTCTCAAACTCCTGGGCTCAAGTGATCCTCCTACCTCGGCCCCCCAAAGTGCTGGGATTACAGGCATAAGCCATCTTGCCTGGCTTTTTTGTTGTTGTTTTTTGATTTCTGTGACACGCCCATGTTTGAAGGCAAAAAAAAAAAAAAAAAAATCACAACATGGAGAAACATCTTCCATCCAGGCAAAAGAAAAAGAAAGTCAGTGACAAAGCTGGAGGACGCAGGTAGCCTGGGCTCCCAGATAGACTCATCACACAGCTATTTGCTGTCTCCCTCTGAGTGTTTTTAAATTAAGAGTTTGTTAATGGAATTGTTCTTCAGTCAACCAAAGTTTGGGGACTGGCAGGTAATAGAGATGAGGACCCTGGACAGAGGGGCCCAGAGGCTCTGGGCTCCTCTCCTTGCCCAGCGGGTGCCTCTCCACTGTGCTACAGCTCCGGCACTCAGTGGGATATTTATAGCTGCCTTTAAATTTACCCAGCTCTCCATAAAGCGAGGTAATGGGGCGCCCTTTACTGCTGCTAGTGGTGATTGTCCTAACATTCTTTAATTAGCAAAAAGCGTTGGCACAGCCACTTTCAAAGCATTTGATCTTACTGTCCTGGTGCTCCCTATTTCAGGCTCAACAGCCCCCACTCCCTTTGAAGAAAATGCACTTTAGCCAATTTGAAAATGACAGGCTTATGTGTACATGAGCACAGATAATGTGTATTTGTGTACCTATGCTCACTCCTCACATACTCACAACTGCCAAGAACCTGTGAGCCTTTATGATACCTCCATAAAACTCTCCTTCATAAATCTGTCAGCAAGGGGCTAGGAATTCTAAAAATTGAGAACTGGAGACACCTTAAGGTCACTGGGATTCTCCTTCATTTTCCCAGTATTTACAGAAAAAAAAAAAAAAATTCAGGCTAGCCATTATTCAACTGCCGCTTCAAAGACTGTAAGTAGAGCGGGGTAGGGTTATCAATAAAATTAGGAAGGCCGGAGCTCTTACCCACATGGGACAACAGAAACAGTCCTCATCCCTCTGAAATAATAAAATCACTATGGTCTTGGTATTGGAAACAAGATGGAGGGGCTTCTGCTCTTGTGGAGATGTACAATAAACAGGCCATAAACAAGACAATATAAAGATAATGGAAAATAAAATGAGAAAACAAACCTGGGTGATATGACTGTGATGAGTGGGGCCACTCTGGACAGCATACCCACCTGAAGATGTGGGGGAACATTCTAGGTTGAGGAGAGAGAGTAAAGGTCTTAATGGGGAGAACCACGTGGTAAGGGTATTCCAGGAAAAGGAAGCTGACCAGTGTAGCTGAAGTCAGGGAATGAGGAGGAAGATGATAAAACATAAAGGAAGAGGTGCAGGCCGGGATGAAGGCTTAGGGCCTGTGGGCCATGGGAAGCAGCATGGTTGGTGTTCAAACTACGAGAGGAAGACACTGGGGCATTTTAAGCAAATCAATAACATAATCTGATCTACTGTCACAAAGATCACTTTGGTTGCTATGGAGAAGAGACTGTAGAGGGCAAGTGTAAAAATCTCTGTCTTGAATAGATTAATTTCTTAGTTTTGAATAAATGTTCTGTGGTTATATAAGATATTAACTCACATAAGAGAAAGCTGGGTGAAGCACATATGGGAACTCAGTACTATTTTTGACCTGTCTGCGAGTCTAAAATTACCTCGAAATTAAAAAAACCAACTCAGTAACTGTTAAAAACAAACAATGAAAAACATCTCATACCTTAAATGGAGAATTAAAAGTTATAAATTAGGTGCAGCAACAAGAGCAGATATCTAGAAAAAAAGAATTCCCTCAATAACCGACTTGGAACAAGACAGCTCCTTCTGTACCAATTTCCATAATAGAAAATAATAGATGCTACCACCATTACTATTTGCTGAGATTGTGATTTCCTTTACTTGCTTCTAGTTCTACAATACCATGAAATAAGTTACTAATCCCACTTAACACGTTAAGAATCTGAAGCTTAAACAACTAACACACACACACACACACACACACACACACATATATATATATATATATATATGGTATGTAAGAGGCAGAACTGGGGTTTAAACTCAGGTTTGTCTGACTCCAGAAATGCTTCATACTGCCAGTATGCCACAGTGCCCACTAGCATCCACACACGTGTGCTCTTATGTAGCAAAGTTTGTGTTAGTCCGCTTGGGGAAAAATATTGTTTTGGGTTTTCTCCAACCAAAACCCGAATAATTTTAAGCACACAGTGTGTGTCTGTGAAGAGGTTAATTGTAAGCACAGGCACGAATTAATGATCACATTTATGTGTGAGATACCTGAAAAGCCACTCTATTCATAGCTCTCAGTTTCACATCTGTTCCTGCTGGCTCTGATCTGGAAGTATCCCTTAATTTCCAACGAACATGAAGCTCAACATTTCTAAGACTTAGTTACAGTGGAGCCAAATTTGGTGGCAATAACAGGAGGTACTTTTGGTATTACTACTGGTAAATGCTTTAGTGTTCCAATATCTTTGGGATAAAATCTAGAGACAATGTCTAGAGAAAGTGATAAAATCATTTAGAATGGAATCAGAAAGAAACAGAAAATAAGAGGCAGATTTCTCGTCAGTGTGTCTTGTCATCCTGCTCCCTTCTCTCGGCTCATGTGCTGTTTCCTGACTGAGAGACCCTCTCCCTTCCCAGTGGGAAGACCCAACAGCCACACAGCTCCTGCTTGGCTCCCCTACCCTTCACAGGCACAGGTGTGTGGAAGAGTCACCTGCTGGATATCAGATGCATTGTCCTTTTCCCCTTCCTCTTAAATGGCACATTACAGTGGTTGAGTCTGGGATCTGTACCCAGACTGAAAACCTGGCTCTATCACTGTAATGGGCCGAATGAGCCCCCAGAAAAAAGATGTCCATCCTCATTCCCAGAACCCCGTGACGGTAAACCTATTTGGAAATTATGTCTGCAAAGACCCATTTAAATTAAGGATCTTGAGATGAGGAGATCATCCTGGATTATCCAGGTAGGCCCTAAATCCAATGGTTGGTGTCCTTACAAGTCACAAAGAGGAGAGAGGCAGACAGAAAAAGAGTGCAATGTGACTATGGAGGCAGATTGAAGTGATACAGCTATAAATCAAGGAATGCTGACAGCCACCAGAAGCTGGCAGGGGCAAGAGGCAAGAAGCAAGGCATGATTCTCCCCTAAGGGCCTCTGGAGGGAGTGCAGCCCTGCCAGATTTTGAACTTTTAGCCTCCAGAACTGTGAGAGAATATATTTCTGCTTTAAATCACCAACTATGTGGTGACTTGTTATGGCAGCCTCAAGAAACTAATTTAGTCACTCATTAGTCATTTCTGTGATCCTGAGAACACATCTTAAATTCATCTCCAAAATGGGGAAATCTAATGGTACCCACCTCACAGAGCTGTTGTGAGGGGTAAACATGTGTAACTAAACACAGTGCCAAGTACCTAACAACACTGCAGTAAATGTTGCTATTAAAACCATTATTATTACTGCTATACACAGGCAATTAAAGAGGAAAAACCACACGGGCCTGGAATGGGCCAGTATACTTGCAGAAGTGCATTTTCAAGGCTCCTGGCTGGACCTCTCTTTTCCATTTGAACATGCAGGTGACTGTGGCTAGAACACATACCAAACTCTTCAAAAGAGGAGGCAGAGTGCTAGCTGGGAGGTTTTCCCTATCACTCAAGCCTTGCAGCCCAGAAAGAAACCTAGTCTTAGAGGAGAGGGAAAGGCCTTTCCATTTTATAGCTCTTTACCATTTGTATTAAGCACTGTCTTTTCTGAGCCATGCTTTTTAAAAATTGCTCTTGATGGGACCTGGAGGGAGAATGCTTTTTTTGTCCTTTATTGTCCACTCCCTCTGACTTTCTTAAAGAGCTGAGTCCTCGGGGGAAAAGAACAGTGGATTCTAAGCACACTCAGAAGAGTGGGTAACTCTAGAACAGCTGTCTTGCCCTGAATCATCAAGCTCCAGGAATAAAATTCATTCCCTTTATGACTGTGGGTAGTAATGGCACAGCCAGCCTCACTGTGGGATCACAGGCAAGAAAAATAACCTTCCTTTTGCAATTCTGATTTTCTTATTAAACAGAAAATTCATGGCTAGTTGTCTCTGATGGGTGTTTGCATACGTGGGTGGAAATGAGACACACACACACAATGTGTTCATTACCTTGGAAAGAAGGCAGTGGCTATTTCCATGTAGATCATTCCTACTTTTTATTATTACTGATCCACCAATCAATTGCTATCTTTGCTTCCCTTTGTGGAGGGCAATTTCCATACTTCTTTTTTTCTTTCTAGTATCCCAAATTCCTTTCTTGTCTTTGCTCTTGTTCTGTTCCTGCCACTGACGGACCGACCCTTAAAAGGGGCCCAAAAGTTATTTGGTGGCAAAATGATACCCTGCTGAAGATTGCTCACTCCTGGAACACCCTATGAGGCATTATGGACATCTAGTGGCTGCTCAGGATAATGCCTCAGGGATACATATCAGGTTGGGGAGGGGTCTAGCCCTGGGCTTGGCTTTACTAGGAACCCAATTATCCTCACTGGGTGGGAAAGTCCTGGGTCCTCTAGATGGCCCCTAGTTCGGTCTCCTAGACGACTGTTTCTGTCATTTTCTATTGGGGACCCAAAGTCACTAGGAATTACATACTGGCGCTATTGAAGACTCATCTTTATCTCAATCCATCAAAATATAGTACCTCTGGCATACAAGACCACAGAAGACAGACATTTGGAAGTATCTTCAAGGCCCAGGTTTAAATGCCAATTAGCCATACATTGCCATTTTCACTGAGGAACTGAGGTCAGAAAGAACAGACTCTGATACTAATTAGTCATGTAGCTTTAGGTAAGTCACCGTGCCTCTCTGAGCTTCATGAGTGACATCTGTAAAGTGAGGTTAAATCCAGATAATCTCCAAGGTCCATTTTAGTTTAACATTCTGTGATCTATGCCTTTTTAGCAGCTGGGAAAACACAGTCCGACCTGCACTGCTCTGGCACTGTGGATCTCTAGATTAAATGAAGGAAGCATTCTCACTTAACTTTGTGGCCCATTTCCAAGACTTGGCTACAATCCCGAAGGATCAACCTTCTTCACAGAGCTACATATCTGAGATGGGGCAGAAATCATGGACTGAGAGAGCTGCAAGAAACTTTCTAACCCATTTCTTTGAGTTTATAAATGGAAAAAACAAGGTTTAGAGCTATTTTAAGATTTGTCACGTCTAATTAGTGGCAGAAAGGGGACTAGAACTCAGGTATCCCAATCTTAGTGCAGGGCTCATTCTACAATACCAGGCTGCTGGCACAGGCCTTGCCCAACCACCACTAGCTTTTTTAGCTCTCTCTGGCTTTATCACAGAGTCTCCCTGTGTGAAACTGTAAGTGAATGCAATCTGAATCCAGTGTTTCTTCCTCTTAGGGTTTAAGTAGCCTTCTTCCCTTCTTATTCCTTGGTGGCACCATTTCAAGGAAGCAGTCAGAACCAGGGGCTGTGAGGAGCAAGAAGCCATGGCTAGATGGTACATAGGTTACCAAGATGAGAGGCTGCAGTCCACTTTCAGCTGAGAAGGGCTGTGTGCTACGATGGCCCCACAGCCTCCTCTGCAGTCCAGTTGGTAGGTTTAGTGGTGCTTTCCTGGCCCAGCTGGCCTACAGAGGGCAAAGAAGTCCAGTGTAGAGCTCTACAGAACTTGGGCATAGTCACCTTCATGGACAGCAGTCACAAATATTTACTGAGAGACAATCTCATTACTAAGCACTGGTCTGACCCAAGCCAGCCCCCACTTTCATCCACCTTTACAGTGCGAGGCAGCAGCTTTCATTTGTGGGGCCTGGAGCTGAACAGACAGGGTGTGAGTTTGCCTACACTAGCAGGGGACCAGCCCAGGCAGAGCTCCTGTTGCCTGAGGAGGGACAGTCATACGTAATCATTGCCATTCAGACCCTGGCCAGGGGTCTCCTTAGGCACCAGACAACTCGAGTAGGTCGGTGCCAGCTATAAAGGAACAGAACCTCTCGCCAGAAAATCTGAGTGTCCTCCACAGTCCTGTCAGGCTAGGTTCACACTTGAGTCTACAAGACGGTAGTGTCCTGCTTAAGACTAAGAATATGCAGATGGGGCTTCAGTGAAGAACATAAAAAGAGCTGCTAAGGAGCCGAGATGGAACTAAACCCTAGTATCAGGGTTTGACTTACCTCCATGTCTGCCTCATTCTTTTTCTTGATGAGTGAGAGTGCATTTTCTCAGTGTCTGTCCCCTACCCTTCATCTTACTTCTCTGACACATCTCTCACTCAACTTTCCTAGTCTCGCTCTCCTCCCCTCTCCACTTGTCCCCACCATTTACTCCATGCAGAGTAGACACAGAGGGCATTTTTGTTATGAAAACAACAGACTCTGGGTTTGAGGGCTGGATGGAAAGGCTGGCTCTGTCACTTTCTAGTGTATGACCTTGGGCAAGTTATTTGCCTGTGTGAGCTAAGTGCCTTCATTTGAGAAATGGAGACAAACGTGGCAATTACTTTCATTGGGTAAATGAAGATTAAACAAGAACATATCTAAGTTCTTGGTAAGGTGGATGGCACATAGTAGATAAGCATCTACTATGCTAAATGACTATTGAAGTGGATGAATGGAACCTGAGTTCTCATCCAGCCGGGAGACTACTTTGGGGAATCACTTCCACACCCAAATTTCTTGACAGCTGAAGCGTGCTATGGCTCAAATCCACCATCACTTACTCGTGACCCTAGGCAACATGTTTGACCTATAGAAAATGAGTAACAGGGTTGCTGAGAATATTAAGAGTGAAATACAGAGTAAGGGATCAAGAAACAGAAACTAGCAAGGTTGTTATGTGACAGCAAATGATAATAAAAAGGTCTTGTTAGGAACCGTTTCCAGGACTTCAACAATTCCATGGCATATTTAAGGAGGTTCAGGTTACTGGGCAACAGACAATATTGAGAAATGGGTGTAGTAGAAACCAGGAAACTGAGAAATCCAGGACCTCCTCCTACTTAAGCAACAGCCCACGTGCAGGTGATGAGGGTTTAACAAGCGAGCCCGCCAGAAAACACACAGGGAAAGTGATGGGGGATGAAGAATCTGGAGGCAGCTCTGGAAGGGAAGAGACATCAAACCATGCTATATTCTGTCGGACTGGCTTCCCAGGGCTTAGCTACGGATTGCCCCACCCACAGTCGGCAGAGAAAGGGGCAGTCTTTCTCGCGGGGCGGGTGGAAGCTGATCTAGTCCTGTTCACCAGCACTAGTCTGTCAAATGCCTTAGGGTCTTTTCCTACTAAAAATAGGGGCAAGCATCCCCCCCCCCCCAACCTCAATCGCTACCCCTGGCTGCTACGCAGTTCTCAGAGAGTCCCAGTCAAGGAGGGGCTGGCGAGCTCCGCAGGGCAGGGAACTCAGCCGCCCGCCTCCCTTCCCCCAGTTCTCTGGGCGCAGCTGGGAGGAGTAAGGGGCGACTCGGGGCAGCGAAGACTGAGAGAAGCCGCGGCTGCAGCTCCATGAATGAACCGGTTGTGTCGTGGGCTCCGGGAGTTCACCTCAATCCTTCCTGCCGGCCTCTGTGCTGTTCCAGGTTGTCTTTCCCCAGCTCGTCGCACTTGGTCATTCCTGCCACTGTTTCCCGCCCCCGCAACCCTCATTAAGAAAACTCATTTAAAGCCCCAGTGAGAGCCCAGAAGGGGTGAGACAGAGCGAGAGAGGGGCCGGCGGCAGTGCAGCAGCGAAGCCCGGGTTCTCCGTCCTGGGCGCCACGCGGCTCCTGCCACCTTCTCCCGAGTCCCCAACCACGCAGCTCCGAACTCCGAGCGCGAGTCCACGGCCCGGAAGGCGCCGCAAGGAGCCCCGTCAGCATTCGGCGGGAGTGAAGATGATGCCGGCCGGGCAGGAGGCCGGCCAACTGCAGCAGCCCCGCCGCGGGCCGTTGGGCCCCTGAGACCGGCTCTCCAGAGCCAGGGGGCGCGGGGTGCCGGCCGGAGGGCGGGGGCCTGCGCGGGCTCTCCCGCCGCAGCCCCGCGCCGCTCCAGCCTATCAGCGGCCACCCAGCGGCTCCCTCCGACCGGCCCAAAATAGCTGCGAACGCCTGCGACTTGCGCGCGGCCCCTCACTTGACGCTCACTCCGGCTCGCTCGCCCGCTCACTCGCCCCGGCCCCGCTCAGCTCGTCTAGAGGGGGCGGGGAGGAAGCGACCCGGGGAGGGGGGTGGGGGGAGGGGGAGAGAGGAAGAGAAGAGGAAGGAGGAAGACCGGCGGCCGGAGGTGCGGGGTTGCGCGGCGCCAGCCGGCGCGGCGCTGAAAGGCGCCGGCGTTAACCCCGCGAGGCAGGCGGCGGAGGGGGAGCGGCGCTAATACATAAGAGCACTGCATCACGCTAATCTTCTCCCAGAACAGTATGCGTCAGCAGTACATTCACGTTCTGACTGAAGGACAAAAGGATGAGAGAGCAGTCTGCGTGGCTGCCGCCTGCAACACCGCGAGCCCGGCGCGAGGAGGAGACGGTGGGCGCCGTGCGCAGGGGCCCCGCTGCTGCCGCCGCCGCCGCCGCCGCTAACCAGCGGGGACCATGTTCCCGGGCTCCGGAGCGTTTTCCGCAGCTGAGACCCCCGCTGCTCACACCGCTGCAGCAGTCCGCGGGCGGCGCGGCCACTGAGGGCGCCGGGAGCCGAAGCCGCGAACTCGCTCCCTCTGCACAAAGCCGGAGCCGGCGGCGCGCCGGGGGCCGGGCAGCGGCGGGCGGCGACGGGCGGTTGCGCGCCGCCAGGGGCTGCGGCCGCCGCCGCCGGACCCGCGCCCGCCCCCGGACTCCCTGAAGGGGCCTGCGGTGCGGGCGCGACCGCGGGCGCCGCGCGCTCCCCCGGCCGGCGGACTGGGTCCGGGCGCAGTAGCCACACCGCTCGCCCTCGGGAGCCGGACGGATCGCCGCCCCGTGCGCCTGCAGCCGGCGGACTGGACAACTGAGCCCGGTTTTCGTCTCTTCCACCCTCCGAGAAGAGGCGAGGAGAAAGGGGGTGTGTGTCTGGGGAGGGCGAAGGCGCCGCGAACACCACCTAACTCTCGCCGCCCCGCGAGCTCACGACCGCAATCAGCTGCCGCCGGCCCGGAGCGGCCGACGCCGGGAGAGGGAGCGCAGTACCGAGCGAGCGCGGCCTGGGCGGCTTCGGGGCGCCCCCGCACCCCCTCCGGCGGCGGCCCAAGGAGCGGGCCGGTGCCGCCGGAGCGCACTTTGGCGATGAAGCGCCTTTCCCCGCGGCTGGAGCGAGCCGGTGCCAGGGTCCAAGGACAAAGCCGGAAAACGCTGGTAGCGCCGCTCCTCGGGCGGAGGGGGGGGCATGCACCTGCATAGCCCGCCGGGCCTTGGCTCTCCCAGGCGCGCCTCAACTCCGCGGCTTCGCCGGCTCCGGCTCCGGATTTACTAGAAGCCATTTTGTCTCCCCCACCCGTCCCCTCCCCTCCCTTCTGCCCTCCCCGCCCCCACCACTTCCCCCTTTTGTTAATTAAAACTAAGAAGTCGGAATGGGAACGAGGTGCCCAGCTCCCGTGGAGAAAGCTTAAGGACACCACGCCAGTGCTTTTCTGCCTTCCTTCCGAGGTAGGTGACGGCGAACTGGGTGGGGACGGTGGCAGTGTGGGAGAGTCGTAGCTTTCGGAGGGTTTGCCTTGAGGGTGGGCTGGGAGACCAGGGGCCGCTCTTGAGTTTGGCAGGATTTTTTTTTCGGCCGATCCGCTCCGTCTCTCTAATCGCCCCCTCCCCACCTCCTTCTCCAGATGGAAAGAGGAGCTCCTAGCTCACTTAAGCCGGGGTAGGGCTGGTTCTCCTTTCCAAGCCAAAATCCCAGGCGATGGTGAATTATGAACGTGCCACACCATGAAGCTCTTGTGGCAGGTAACTGTGCACCACCACACCTGGAATGCCATCCTGCTCCCGGTCGTCTACCTCACGGCGCAAGTGTGGATTCTGTGTGCAGCCATCGCTGCTGCTGCCTCAGCCGGGCCCCAGAACTGCCCCTCCGTCTGCTCGTGCAGTAACCAGTTCAGCAAGGTGGTGTGCACGCGCCGGGGCCTCTCTGAGGTCCCGCAGGGTATCCCCTCCAACACCCGGTACCTCAACCTCATGGAGAACAACATCCAGATGATCCAGGCCGACACCTTCCGCCACCTCCACCATCTGGAGGTCCTGCAGCTGGGCAGGAACTCCATCCGGCAGATTGAGGTGGGGGCCTTCAACGGCCTGGCTAGCCTCAACACCCTGGAGCTGTTCGACAACTGGCTGACAGTCATCCCCAGTGGGGCCTTTGAATACCTGTCCAAGCTGCGGGAGCTCTGGCTTCGCAACAACCCCATCGAAAGCATCCCCTCTTACGCCTTCAACCGGGTGCCCTCCCTCATGCGCCTGGACTTGGGGGAGCTTAAGAAGCTGGAGTATATCTCTGAGGGAGCTTTTGAGGGGCTGTTCAACCTCAAGTATCTCAACTTGGGCATGTGCAACATTAAAGACATGCCCAATCTCACCCCCCTTGTCGGGCTGGAGGAGCTGGAGATGTCAGGGAACCACTTTCCTGAGATAAGGCCTGGCTCCTTCCATGGCCTGAGCTCCCTCAAGAAGCTCTGGGTCATGAACTCGCAAGTCAGCCTGATTGAGCGGAATGCTTTTGATGGGCTGGCTTCACTTGTGGAACTCAACTTGGCCCACAATAACCTCTCTTCTTTGCCCCATGACCTCTTTACCCCACTGAGATACCTGGTGGAGTTGCATCTACATCACAATCCTTGGAACTGTGATTGTGACATTTTGTGGCTAGCCTGGTGGCTTCGAGAGTATATACCCACCAATTCCACCTGCTGTGGCCGCTGTCACGCTCCCATGCACATGCGAGGCCGCTACCTCGTGGAGGTGGACCAGGCCTCCTTCCAATGCTCTGCCCCCTTCATCATGGATGCACCTCGAGACCTCAATATTTCTGAGGGTCGGATGGTGGAACTTAAGTGTCGGACTCCCCCTATGTCCTCTGTGAAGTGGTTGCTTCCCAATGGGACAGTGCTCAGCCACGCCTCCCGCCACCCACGGATCTCTGTCCTCAATGATGGCACCTTGAACTTCTCCCACGTGCTGCTTTCAGACACTGGGGTATACACATGCATGGTGACCAATGTGGCAGGCAACTCCAATGCCTCGGCCTACCTCAATGTGAGCACGGCCGAGCTCAACACCTCCAACTACAGCTTCTTCACCACAGTCACAGTGGAGACCACGGAGATCTCGCCCGAGGACACAACTCGAAAGTACAAGCCTGTTCCTACCACATCCACTGGTTACCAGCCGGCATATACCACCTCTACCACGGTGCTCATTCAGACCACCCGTGTGCCCAAGCAGGTGGCAGTACCCGCGACAGATACCACTGACAAGATGCAGACCAGCCTGGATGAAGTCATGAAGACCACCAAGATCATCATTGGCTGCTTTGTGGCAGTGACTCTGCTAGCTGCCGCCATGTTGATTGTCTTCTATAAACTTCGTAAGCGGCACCAGCAGCGGAGTACAGTCACAGCCGCCCGGACAGTTGAGATTATCCAGGTGGACGAAGACATCCCAGCAGCAACATCTGCAGCAGCAACAGCAGCTCCATCCGGTGTATCAGGTGAGGGGGCAGTAGTGCTGCCCACAATTCATGACCATATTAACTACAACACCTACAAACCAGCACATGGGGCCCAATGGACAGAAAACAGCCTGGGGAACTCTCTGCACCCCACAGTCACCACTATCTCTGAACCTTATATAATTCAGACCCATACCAAGGACAAGGTACAGGAAACTCAAATATGACTCCCCTCCCCCAGAAAACTTATAAAATGCAATAGAATGCACACAAACAAAGACAGCAACTTTTGTACAGAGTGGGGAGAGACTTTTTCTTGTATATGCTTATATATTAAATCTATGGGCTGGTTAAAAAAACAGATTATATTAAAATTTAAAAACAAAAAGTCAAAACAAAAATATTTTCTAACTTGTAAGTTCTATTTAAAGGGGTGGGAGGGAATCTTGGGAATGTTGTGGGGTACAAGCCACACGTTGACTTGCTATGCTGCCAGAAGGGATTTCTGGTATAAGGTTGAAATCGCTGAGATAAAATAAACTAAAACAACAAACATCCCTAAAGAGGTAGGGTGTGGGTTGCTGAGGGGGCAAGAGGGATAGACTGAATCTATCATTTTATATAGAAGATGCTTCATAGGACACAGGAATACCCATTTCTACAGACATCTTTCTTAAGCTGAGAGCTGTCTTTGCAGAATTATCTTATTAAAAAAAATACAAAAAAAAAGCACCATGAATTTGTACTGTGCCAAAATGTTAGTGGCAATAATTTTTTTCTTCAGAAGCTAAGGGGAGGATAGATCTATACATGTATTTTAAGCAGGAAAACCACCAAAATTCAAACGAACCCTTAAAGGGGCTGAGTCTTTGTCCATGTGCACAAGTCTTGTGGTCTATGCACTGGGACACGCATGTGCCTTGCCTGACAGAATGCTTAGGAAGGAGCAGAGAAGGACAGGAGCTGGCGTAGCTCTCAGCCTAATGCTTTCACAATGCACCAGATTCCTGCAGTTGGGCTTAACCCACTCTGCAAGGCATGTGTCTATTCAGGGTTTCCCAGGAGGAGGAGGAGGCCCCTGAAGGGGGTGCGGCAGGCAGCAGGGGGGTGGGAAGGGAGGGCAGAGCAGAGAGAATGTATTCACAGGAGGCCATAAATTAGCATTGTGCCACGTCCACCTGTTGTTTCTGGAATCTGACAAATGATTGTAGACAATGATGGCATTTTATGATTTTTTTAAAAAAAATTTTGTTTTAAGGAGGAGAAGCTGGAAGTGGGGAGCTTGGGAGTGGAAGCTTTTCTCATGCTTGTGATTTGGTGACTCTTCTAAATGCTGATTCATTAGGGATTATTACAGCGGATGTCAGCTGGTTGTGGTGATGGGCTGGGGGCAGAACATGAGTAGCAAAGAAAAAGGAGAGATGAAAAGGGTACAGGCTCATGTAAAGTAATGAAGCCTTTCCCAGCCAGGATGGTTCACAAACAGGCTGTGAGAGTCACAGTTCCAAGTGACACGCATGCACACATGGAGTTCCACATGGGGTCCTGCTGAATGGAGCACACTGAGGGGAAGCTTCCCTCTCCCAGGCCACCTCAGGAGGAGGTGGAAGAGAAAGGGTGGGTGTGGGTGGGGAAGGCAGAGATCTCTGTTATTCTGGTCCATTTAATGATGTCACTTCTTTCAGTTATTATTTTAGCTTTAAAAGGAAATAAGGGGTTCAGATTTGAAAGGGGGTGGTATGGGTAGGGGTGGAGGGGATTGCCAACAAAAGAACACTGATTGTAATGTGAGAAAAGTGTATTTTTGTATTTTAATAAATATTGTTCAATTTTTAATTCAATGTCCCCAAAGGGTTAAATTGAGTAAGACCCTGAACCTATAGATTCTTATGAGCCAAGTCATTTCTATTTAATAAAAAAAGGTGGGGAGGGGAGGGTAGAGGTATGATGGGGGAAAGACAAATGTTAAACTATTTTCAAGTATGAGAAAATGCTAAAGCTGTCAATAATCTTTCCTTAGCTTAAATAAAAGCACCCCGATTCTAGTGCACCTTCCACAAGCTAACTGTGTTAGTCCCTGGCTTTGTTGGGGGTATAACCAAATTCCCTCTGCCCTGGAAAAGCAGGGGAAATGGGTCAGCCTCAGCTCCTGGGACCTGGCCAAAAGTTAAATGCCACCTCAGCAGAAGCTGCTGGTCAGGCAGCACCAGCTCTAGCTGAGGACCCTGGGGGACCTGGATTTCAGAGGTCTGCAATTATGTAGTTGGGCTTAAATTTTCCACAGGCAATGTTGCTTCTGTTTTCTGGGTGCTAAATAATCCAAACATGTCTTGGTGGTAGGTGTCCCGAGTAGTAATGCCCAGAGGCTGCATGAAGTGGGACCCTGCGTTTCTTTAGTGCTAGTATTTATACTAATGCAGGGAATTGGGACTGAGTGGGTGTGAACTCTTTGGTACTGAGGAAGGAAAGAGAGGCAGGAAGCACTCTGCAGCAGTTGGCTAAGAAAGGGCCAATTCTTAATCCTCCTGGGTATATACATCATTTCTGGGTATGTGTGCCAGCACATATGCATGGGCACACACTTATAAACTGCCACTCACAGTTCTAGGCACCAAAGATATGTTTCCTGCTTCTCCTTTACCACCATACCCCCAATAAAAAGAAAACTGAAGGAGAGCAAAGGGTGGGACTTGGCTAGGACCAGGTGAAAAAGCAAGAAATTACTCCCTTTCCTAGTGCCACAAGACACAACTCAGGCTGTTTAAAACAGCTTCCCGGGTATGCATTCAGAGGAAATTGCGGAGGAAGTTGCTGCTTCAGAAATAGAGGATAAGGAGCCAATTTCCTAACACCCTTTTTTTTTTTTTGACAGCTATTTGAGCAGACAGGGAATTATGCAGTAACTCTGCAATGACTAAGAGTCTGTGGCTTACAGTAATGGGCCTAAAAATCTTGGGAAAGAGTCCTGTGGACAAATACATTTGTCCCAAGGAAGAGTATACTCGGCTCCAGTCTGTGGGAGAAGGACTTTTCAAAGAAACCTCAAAGGAGTTGGGGGAAACTAAGTATATGGATCCTAGATTTAAGTATCCTCAGAGCTGCAAGGAGAGTTCCTTACCCTAGTGGGCCTGCCCTTTGATCCGTGCAGTTTTAACTTTTAGAGCCATAACCTTCCTTTGCTATAATGGGTATATCTTCCTGTAGCAGGCACTTGGGACAGCTTTTCAGAGAGGCATCCTGTGAGTACCAAAAATGCAGCCATTAATGCTGTGTAAGTGAGTCATCCTTGGCCTGGCCAAGGTTTGTTACCTAGGAATGGAACATGGGTTGGTAGCTCTTTGGGGGGTAGTTATAGCAACACGTTGGATGTAAAGACTCTGCTGCTGATGTATGGTGTTAGAGGATTTTCATTATAGAACTTAAGGCCATGAAAAATCATTTAGTCTAATCCCTTCACATTTTACAGTCAAAGAAACTGATCCCCTGAGAAATTAAAAGACATATCCAAGGTCATACTGCTAGTTAATGGAGAAGGTGGGACTAAAGCCCAGGTCTCTTGACTCCTGAGTCAATGTGCTTTCTCACCCAGGCTGTTACTGGCTATCAAGAATATACTTCTTAACTTGCACAAGGCAGTTAAAATGGGACCTTCCTAAGGTACTTCTGTGTTCTCTTACTCCTTTTAGAACTGTTCAATCTCTTTAGAACTGGCTCTACTTCCCTCTAAGGCCTGACTACAGGGGCTCCACATGTGCTAAGGGGTTAGATTCTCAGTACTGTACAGTTTCCTGATTCTTAGGCCCAATGGCAGGCAGAAACTGCAGGATCCCACAGAGGGTGACAGCTAAAGGGGAAGGAGCGAAGCAGATAAGACTTGGTGTTTTACAGTGAGAAAAGGTGGGTTGGCCTCCTGCCAGTCTTGGACTTGGAAGCTCTGCAGCGTAGAGGAGCTCTTAAAACACCTATCGGACCACAGAGGTTCCCCATAATGGAGTGGTTTTTGCTTATCCGGCTCAACAATGAGAATACTGGGAGGCTCTTTCACCCCTCGGCTCCACTATATCTACCCCAGCTTTAGCTCTTTAAGTACCATGCTATAGCTGCTACTTCTATAATGTGCTCCAGGGCTTTTTAATACCCTTCAGCTGCATCCTATTATGGTAGATAGGCTAGCTTCGAAGGCCTACAGATATTAGCTTTACCATGGCTATTTAACATGTATTGAGGCCAGCAACTTGCTGGGTGCTGGGTGGAAACAACCAGAAGAGAGTCCCTGCAAGACAATTCCTGTGGTTTTCTGGGAAGAGGGTCAGAATCCATGGTCTCTGGCTTCCTTCAGTGGCAATGGGTAGAGACTGGGAGAGGGCTAAGTGGGCCTTACTCACCCCAGGCTTCTACCTCAGGGGGCCAGGGCCTATAATTAAGGCTCCATCATTTCACTGCAACAAAGCAGCAGGGGCTTAAAATTAGAAAAGAGAAAAGAGAGTGAGAGGAACATTTATATCCAAACATATGTCTGATTTTATCTCCTCTGCTGGCACTCAGCATTCCATGCATCGGCTAATGCAGGCACTGTTCACGCCATTTCCAAATCCTGCCTCAGCTAAACTGCAAGGCAGCTTTTGGCTCAAAGCAACTCCCTTGGTCTCCATCCTTTCAGGAAGCACCCCTCTCCCATGCAGGGGGAAGAATAGATTGGACAGTGGGTTAATGTTTTCATCTTTGCTTTAAGTTAAAATGAAGTAAATTACTTCTTGGAGTAAGGATAAGGGCTTCAGGAACTAGATCAGTGAAACATATATCCACACACATACACAAAGCAATATAGCATAGTGCTTGCAAGCACAGACTCTAGCCAGACTTCCTGTATTGAATCCTAGTTCCATCACTTACTAGCTGTGTGACTTTGGGAAAAGACTCAGTTTCTTCATCTAAAAAAGAAAGACAATATTACTATCTACCTCACTACTTCGGAGATTGTGAGAATTGAAATTTTCCATATATATAATTATATATGTATGTGATATAGATCTCACATTTAGTGCTCCACACCATATTAGCAAATGCTAGGTAACAGTTATTTGACAATACACACCAACATACAGATCAACACCACCCTTATTCTTGAACATTGTATTTGTCCAAAGAGAGGCAAGCCTATTATGCTACTCCAGAGGAAGGGTAACTATCTAAAGTCAGAGACAATAGTATCTAAAAGCCCAATCACTGTGAAAAACCTGGTTATACTTACCTTCCCAGGAAAACCTTGCCTTGTACTCCGATCCCTACACCAGCACTATACCTGGCCCAAAGCACACTGTCTTAGTCCAGGAACAGATTACCTTTCTTTGTGTTGAGCCAGAAGAAAGTAAAGGTGCTGATAGTGGTGCACAAGCTGAGGGCTGGGACCTTGGGAAGCCTAGATCCTTTACCAAGAATGTAAGCTTCCTAACGTCTTCTCCCCTACCCATGTCTCTGGCACGGAGCAATCGCAGTCTTATTATTCAGGTCAGTGATGAAATCCTCCCCGACCATGAAGTGTTACCAGGACTGAGAGTGGGGAGAGGGGAGGCACTAGGCGGAAGAAGGTAGCACCGAGAGGGCTGTTGGGGCTTCCAAGCAGTATTAGAGAGCTAAGAGAAAGGAAAGGCAGACAAAAAGCACCATAATTTGAGCAAATGAGAGAAGAATGGAGCTTTGTGGCAGACACACAGACTAAGGGGCTGCAATGCAGTCAAGGAGGAAAGCCAGGGAGATTCCTCTGCCTTAGCAAGAGGCTGGCTGGACCCTGGATGGGGGAGGACTGTTAGTGCGAAATTCATGGCACGGAACAGAGGAGAAGAAAAGCAGAGAGAGCAACTTTCCAAGAGAGGCGAAGAAAGAATGCATTTTGATTTCCTAATGAGAGGCTAGAATTAGATTTTAGGATGATCACAGGTTTTATCCTCTGGTACATGCCAGCTTTGCTGTCAGTACTTGGGCCAAACCACCTACCCACAACAGTCCTGTTCCCTATCCTGGAGGCTGTCCATTGCTTGGAGAAGCAACCCAGCCTTCAGGGATGTAATTTAATCCTGACCCTGACAGGCTCACTCAGGGATCTGCTCTGAACCCATTTCCTCATTTCTATTAAGGCACAGTCATGGGGAGGGGGAGGGGGTGTGCTGGGGAGAAGAGAGGGAGCAACTTGATATCTGTCCACAAAAAGAGTATTATTCCAGAGGGAGAGTGTTACATAAATTGTGTATTCTAATAAAAATAATGATGTCTATGAGTTCAGTGCACATGGACCCTTGCAGTGAGTCAGAGATTTGGCCTGGGCCTGTGGGGGATATCCCTGGGAGAAACTGTCTTGTCAAAGGAAGTTTGCATTTGAGAGGATGGCGTGATCTTTGCTCACTTACCCCCATCAAGAAGAGTTTTGAAACGATAGTAGGGAGACACTGATATGAGAGGCTATCCTTAAGTCAGGTGTGGGGCTAGATGGAACAAAGTAGTACTTAGCCTTCCAGGTTCATTCATTCTGTTCACTCAGGAACAATACTAGAGCAATTTCTACAGTATAAATCAATTATAGGATGCCAAAGAAACAGTCCTTGATCTACTTGTTTCTTTCGTACCCACCTACCTTCTTTCTCTTTTTTGTGACGGAGTCTCATTCTGTCACCCAGGCTGGAGTGCGATGGCGCAATCTCGGCTCACTGCAACCTCCACTTCCTGGGTTTAAATGATTCACCTGCCTCAGCTTCCCGAGTAGCTGGGACTGCAGGCACCTGCCACCACGCCTTGTTAATTTTTGTATTTTTAGTAGAAAGGGGGTTTCCCCATGCTGGCCA